TAGAAAATTGTTCTATCTCACTCTCTTGGTACTCATGATTTAAGTACCTCTCATGAACAGCACTAATCCACCTTGAAACTCTTGGATCAGGAAGTTCTGGGATCTAATAGCAACCTTTGAGAGGCAAGAAATAAAATGAAGCACCAGTAGGGGGCAGCAAATATTGGGAACTGAAAGTCACATCACCTCTTTGCCCTTGGCCTTCATGGTATTTATATAGTTGGGTACATAGTTAAACTATTAACAAAGGGGGAGGCGAGGAAAAAAAATATTAACAAAGATGTAAAACAATGGTGCTTCATCAATGAAAAATAAATTGAAAAATAAATAGTTGGGTAAATATGGGTAGGATGTGAATTAAGAATTAGCTTGCCAAACTGGAGCCACCAGGAATTATCTTAGATAATGCTTAAGAAAGAAAGCTGAAGTTTTAGGGCTTTATAAAAACTGAACCCAGGGGAAATCTAAATCTTCACAGATAGTGGAAACTGGCTAGATGCTTGTTTGAATTTTGTGTCTTCAGTAACTAAAAAAGCCAAACACATTCCTTCTCCAGCCTTGAGACTCATGAAGAAAAAATTTGAAGTATTTTTAAATGTTGATCCATTTGTATTACTTATTAAACATCTTTGTGAAATAACAATACAAGAATTATGCTAGTTGACTCATGGTCCTTAATTTACTAATCTCATAGATATTTTAAAAAGAATAAAATGCACCATGTCCTTCCTGATACCATCTCTATTTAATTTTGTGTAGCCTGCTTTGGATCTTGTACATAAGAGAGAAAGATCTTTACTAGCATCTTGAAGAACAAAACCCAAGCAACTCCTTAATCTTTCCAAACTAGAGCCAAAAAGAGCTGATTGGAGAAAATATTATGATATGATATATAATATTAATCATTATAATGGAGATGTGTATCTATATACTTCCTTTTTCCAATCCAATCATAAAATCTTTATCTGACCAGAACATGCAAAGTTTGGAGAAAGAGGGGGAAGTGAAGAGAACAATTAAAGCGAAAATATTAATTCCAAAGGAGTTTATGTAAGGTTCACAGTGTCCTTGTCAGAAATACTCTGTTCTGTACTATGTGTGCAACAAAGAGGTTCTTTCCAGGCTGGATTCAGTATATCTGGTTCCTTATGGATATGGCAAATAGAAAAGCACTCAGTTCTATTTTAGGGGTGGATTAAGTGGGAGCTATGATACTTAGATGATTTCTGGAATTGGCACATGGATTCCTCATCAAATTCTACGTGGAAATAAGAGAAATGAGGTTTGTGTGTGATTCAGACAATCGCAGAATGTACACTCTTCTTGAAAGAGGTCTCCTCTGAAAATCAAGAAATTTAACTATTTTTCTGTCTATAGATTATTTCCATTGTGTTAGGTTAGGATTAAGGATAAGGAATAAGCTCTCATGCAGCATCAACCCATTTTACCTATAGTAGGTATTCTGTAAATACATGTATTGAGCTAATGAAGGGATGAAATCACCCACCTTCTTTCTATTACACAGAACAATCCATAAGTAAACGCTTTCCAAATGCTCATCTTTTGGAGGAAACTCTATGGAAGACAATTTGACTATTTTGATTCTTAGTTTTGGGCTATCTTGTTCCTCGATTTTTTCTAGTAAATGTTTAGCTTTTCCATTTATTTGGATATTGTTAGGAAATAACACCTTTATGGTAATGTTCAGAATTGGGTGGGGTCACATCACATATGCGTTAAATGTACACGTGGCTTTTGCATCTCATTCCTATGACGATGAGACCAACGCCCAAGGCTGTGTGAGGAACAGCTGTTCAGTGGGGCCGCAAGAAGAAAGACCCACTTGGGGTGAATGACAGGCAGCAGGTGGCCACACTCTTCTCATGACTTTTTAAAGATGTGTCCGATCAATCAATATTTTGAGTATTGAAGATATTTTCTTGCTACTTACCACACACTCCCCATTATTCCCTACTCACTATCATAGTTTTCTTCAATTTATAGAAAAGCAACAGATGTGATAGGTATATGATAACATGATCAGTATTAATGGCTTAATATTAAATATTAAATGAAGTTAAAACTTGCAGGCAAGGAAAAGCACTTTGAAATGCTATCTTTTCTCCATTTGTACTAGAAACTTGAAAACTACCCTAAATCAGGAAAGAAATGAATACCCTGACATCTACATATATACTTTCCCTTTATCTTTCCCTTATGTCTAGCTTAGTGGTTTCAATGCTAAATGTTAGTATTGAGTGACTACATACTGCCATAAGCACTAGTTCATATATATTGAACTTTAAGTTTATTTAAGGAAGTTCATGATAATTTTGACTACACCAGATTTTTGCTTTAGGCACTGACTTTAAAACCAACTCTTGATTAACAGGAGACTCCACTTTATTCAAAATAAGCAATAAAAATTTAAAATAAAAACAAAATCCAGAACCAGTGATTATTGCCAAGTGGCATTTTAATGCGTTATGGAAAGATCAAGTAATTTAATCCCCTTTTCTAACATCAACATCTTGATGCATTTGGCTCTCTTGCCAGCTGCGGGAAAGAAAAGGATGAGATAAGAGATTTTCAGGTTCAAAGTGTCTTTAATAAAGCTGTCGTCTTTTACAGTCCTGTAGCATAGGAGAAATGTCTCAACTTTTCTCTGTATCTTCTCTCATCTTTAGGAAGGGAAGGCAGACACAAACACCTAAGTACCCAAGGCTACAGGTTCCTTGGAAATGCCCCTTCTTTCTCCCCCGCCCCCTTCCCTTCTTTCTTAATCCTCCCACACTGGCCCTTTGTTATGTGGCACTGTAGCCAGGGTTTAAGTGCAGGAGCTTCAGGGCCAGACAAATTGAGTGCAAGTACCAAGCCTGTCCCCTAGTACAAGTATCAGTGGCTGCAGGTATCTTCATAGTGCTGAGACTTAACCCCTTGGCCCCTAGGGAGGCACCTTTAAGTTAAATTTCTTAAGGTAAATTCAGATCACTTTCCAAAATGACTGTACTATTTTATGTTCCCACCACCAATGTATCAATAATAGAGTTCCTCTTTCTCTGCATCCTCGCCAGCACTTATTATTGGGATATTTTTAATATGTTCCATTCTCACATGGTGAGAGTATGAGAGCCTTCATTGTGGTTTTAACTTGCCTCTCCCTTTTTAAAACTGATGCTGAACATTTTTTCATATCTATTTTGACTTTTTGGATATCCTCTTTGGTGAATTGTCTTTTCAGATCTGCTTCCCATTAATTGGGAATTTTTTAATTGTTGAGTTTGTAAATTTTTTATTTATCTTGCCTATTATCCTCTTATTAGCTATATAATGTGTATATATTTTCTCCCATTCAGTAGGATGTCTTTTTCATCTATTTATATATTTTTTTCATTTTGGAAAAACTTTATAATTTGAGGTATTCCCAATTGTTTATTTTTGCTTTTATTTCTCTTGCCATTGGGGTCCAATCTCCAAAAACATCTTTATCATTGATGTCATGAAACATATTACCAATATTTTCTTTTATATATATTTCTACAGGTCTTACATCTAAATCTTTAATACATTTGGAATTTATTTTTACACAGAGAGTTAGATTGTTACTCAAATTTGTCTTTTACAGGTAGCCATGCAGTTTTCCCAAAATCATTGTTCAAGAGACTCTTCTTTCCTCCAGTGTATGGCTTTGACTCCTTTTCACAAATTTTGTATTTGTGTGTACATGAACTTATTTCTAGGCTTTCAATTCTGTTTCATTAATCCATGTGTTTATTTTTCTATCATTACTATATTGTTTTAAGCACTGCTTTAGTATAGTTTCAAGTCAGGTAATGTGAAACCTTCATTTCTCTCCTTTTCTTCTTAGGGTTGCTTTAGTTATTCAAGGCCTTTTATGGTTCCATATAAATTTCAATATTTTTTGCTCAGTTTCTTTGAAGAATATTATTGCTATTTTGATGAGGACTGCATTAAATTTCTACATTTTTTTTTAAGTAGAAGTCACTTTGATTATATTGATTCTTCCTATCCCTAAACATGGAATGTCTTTCTAAGTTATTGTTGCTAGTAGTTCCTACTACTGAATAAATAGGAATAATGTTGTTTCAAACACTCCACATAAACAGGAAAAACATATTGAAGAGACATGAGGACTTTGGAGAGAGAAGAGAATATCAACTTATAAATAATAAGACTGTGGGTGAGAGATTTTGTTTTGTCCATTTCCCATTCTGCCTTGCAAGTTCTGAATATAAGATGGCAGTGAGGTACAGGAGCCTGGGTGCATTTACATAGCTCTACAGCTGTCATCACTGCATTTGGGTTAAAATGTATTTCTTCAGCATCAACTCAGCCTTACTTCTTTGCTCTCTCTCAGGTTTCAGTGGTACTAGACTCATGAGACCATCCATGTCAAAACCAAAATTTTTTTTTGGTCTTATTCTACACTGCTTCAGAACCAAATTCTAACGTTCTCTATAGACAGGTGGATGCTTTGGATGGAATAGATAGAAATCTTGTATTTGAAAAGGCAAGAAGCAAAAGCACACTAGTAATTTTTTGAATTTTGTCCTATAGTACTTCAGGTGTGCAATGTATTGGGAAATTTCCTTTCAAGAATATTGCCCACATATTCAGGTTATGAAAAGCTGTGTAATATTTTTGAAATATCTCATCCATTAAATTTATGCAGTATAGAATATGCTGGCTCTCCAAGTTCTATACAGTTATAGCTATGTTACATAGATCCATTCTCAATGTAAACTATTTTGGTAATTTTATGGTACTGACATTTATTTATGCTGAACTAAGCTATATTCAGTTTCCCTAATGGAGTCTTAAAGCTATATATCTGTTTTCCAAGACTAAGATTGTTGTTTTTGGTTAAGATCAAACTAATAAATTGAATGGCCTGGTTTTTATCTCTAGTATTTTGTGTACACATTGATGTAGACTTTAAACTAGAAAGGCAGAAAATGAAAATATGTTTTCTTTGGCAGGCATTTGATGTACTTGGAAGAGTTGAAGCTTACCTTAAGCTCCTTAAATCAGAGGGTTTAAGTCTGCCTGTCTTGGCAGCAAGGCATGAGGAATTACACAGAGAAATTACAGACTGCGCAGCTGATGCTTTGCAGAAGGGACAAGCCTTAATCAGCCAAGTAGACTCCTGCCGGTGAGTAAAGTCTATTTCTTCCGCAGTGTAACAAGTTTTTTTTTCAAAGACTCCACAACCTATTAAAAAATAAGTGGCATGATTTTTTTCTGCTTCTGATGTTTTGCTGCATTATGACATGGCTTAAAAAGATCCATTCAATTTTAGTCAACAGTAATTCTGAGCATAGCATTGCTCATCCAGAAGGGAAGCCATTTCCTGAGCCCAAGGATCTAAACATACTAAGCATTCTTCCTTTGTCTTTCTGAGGAGGAGAGAGGGAAATGAAAAAAGAGGAAATAGCTTTAATTCTCCATGCTTTTCATATTCTAGCACCCACAAGCAGTTTCTTCTTCCCTTTTAACTCATTAGCCTTAAGTCTACCCTATTTCTTTTTCCCTGTCTGGAGAAAACAAAATACCAGCATTCCCAAAGTCTCAGAATTTATGGTCTTGTTAGTTCACCAAGCAAAACCCCAAATAAAAGGTGACTTTATTAATAATAAAATTAATAACTCACATTTACTGAGAGTCTACCATGTGTCGGGCACTGTGCTTAAGGAGAAGTATCTCATTACTCCTCACAGTAGCTTTACAGAACACATATTATTAATGTCACCTTTTACAAATAATTGATAGCAAGGTTAAGTAACTTGAAAAAGATCACACAGCTAATTAGTGGCAAAGTCAGAATTTGAATCCAAGTGCACAGACCCTTAATCCTGTTCTTTTAACCAGTGTGATGGTGCGGGTTGTTTGTTAAGAGCACACTCAGGGAGTATATCAGTGAGAGCTTAGAAATGGGAGAGAAGAAACTTCAGAAACAGAAGGGGAATGAAATGAGAACAGGAAAAAGAAGCAGGAATTGAAAGACAAAAGGAAGATAACAGTGCAGATGATAAAACTGATAGCCTGATAGCGTCTAGGAAGAAATAAATTCAGGGCTTACATTTGACAGAAAGAGATGAAAAGATTTGTGTAAAAGAGTTAAGACCATTTTTTTAATCTTCTATGTCTACAATTTGATTTTCTCTTTGAAACTCAAAAGCATTCACTTTGAGAAACAAATAAGTATAATGTGGTGAAATTATTTTATTTTTGTTTAAACTCTTATTCTATCCTCTTTTAGATGTATCTAGAAGTACTCACTTGGTAAAATTGAGTTTAGGGAGTTTTCTTTCCAGAAGGCAGTGTGAATACAGACAGAGATTTTAACCAGGGCTTATGTTGGTTACTATGGGATCATGCAAAGCTAAGATCAGAGATAATCCAAGGTGTTCAAGCAGGAGTCAAAAAGCTGAGGCTAAAGAAGAGCAAGTTATTTTCCCCTTTGAGAAACTAACTATGACAATTAGAGTCATTAAGCTGTTACTTTAGCTCCAAGCCACACATCTAGTAATGTGTCTGCTCCAGCATGCCATGTCTGGACCCAAAATGTGGGTACCAGGTCTTCTCCCATCCCTCCCTGCTAAACATGCAGATTTCCAGTATGTATAAATGCTTTGGACCATGCAGTTACTTTGCTCAGAAACTTAGATGCCTGGACTCATGGTACGTGTTAGATATGTACCCTGAGTCATATGATGACTGCATTAATTGGTAAACTCTCTGGTTAAAATTGAGTAGTAGTCCCATGTAAGATTAGCATATGGGTATCAAAGCAGATATTTCTCTGTTCAGTATTTCTCTGTTCAGGCTATTCTACTTGTGATTCTTTCCCTGGCTATGGGCAATTTCCTTTCATGCATGGGTAGACCATGAGGCAACCAAAGACCCCTCCCTGGCTCTCTGGAGTTCTGTTTCTGGTACCCCCAAATTCTAGGTGTTATGATTTCCCCAAGTCTGATCTCTGTCTTCCGAAACCAGCTAGACCACTGGGCTCTGTTCACATTCTACCATCCTAAACTTTAGTCTAGAAATCAACTCCGAGGCAGTAATTGATGCAATCAATGACTCACCTCGTTCATTTCCCTTCTCTAAGGGATCACTGTCATTTACTACCTGTTTAGTGTCTGAGACCGTTATTTTATATATTCTATTTTTCTAGTCTTACACAACTATTAAGGCATGAGAGAAAATCTAGTTCTTGCTTCTTGGCCAGAAAGAGAAGTTCCCTATTCAGTTTTGATGCTTAACTCCTGGAGTTGGGAAGCTGGTCACAATTTATTATTTAAACTTTCTCCTGTTTGCCCTAATCATAAATGCTTTATTTTCAACACTTATATATAAGAGAAGTACTATTATTTCATATGATATTGTATCTTCAGATTTTAATGACTTTTTTGGTTATCTGCTTTGTAGCGGTCAACATATTTATTTACTTAGCTTGTCTCACTCTTTGCTCTTTCTAACTCTTAATTTTTCATATGTGTTGTTTTTCAAAGGGATGTCTATAGTTCTATTCTTAAGGCTTCAGTCTTAGCTGCAATAGTTAGGGATCATTTCAAGAAATTTGATTTAATGGTTAAATAACTAAAACTTTTTTAAAAAAAATTAGTAGCATGATTTCTGTCAACATCCTAGGTAGATGAACTTTCAAGGCATTTAGTTGCCCTGAGATTTCACAAATCAATACTATTTCCATTTGGCAGGAGGAACTAAAGGTAAAGTGAAATTGTGACTTGGCAAGGACATTTTTTATTTAGATGGTAGATGTAAAATAGAAATACATTAAAAGCTGAATTGAAATGCATTAGAATCTCAGTGGCAAACTGGAGCCACACATAACAACTGACCTCAATCCCAAGCACTCCATCTGGGACCTGCTTTCCCTTCCTCATTTAATGATTCATCTGCCCAACAACCTGGGTTGCCACCAAAGGAGAGAAGTAGAACCTAACAGGAGATATTAAGTCACAACCAAGGCTAGCATGCGAGTGGAGTTTAGAATGGTGCCAAGGGAAATTAGTGTAGATTTCAACAAAGCGAAGTCATTGAATATCACAATGGCTTCCTGTTCTTCTGAAGGCCAGTCACACTATTGGGACACAAAACATTAAGGCTCCTGTTGCCCAACTTTTGAAGACTGGCACAGGTAAGAAATTTAAGGTATAGTGTCAGTTTTATTGCATGCTTTCCAGGGGCCAAAACAATGTTGACTTTTAAATTTCTCTGAACCTGTTTTCTCACCTATAAAATGGAGATAGACATTTCATAGAGGATTTTTAAAATAACTTTTATTGAAATAACAATGCATTGTATTGTGTAAGCTCCAAGTGTACATCATTATAAATCAATATCTGTATATCCTATATTAACTTCATCCCTAAAACACCAGTTCTATCCTTTACCATACAAATGACCCCTTTTATCTGACTTACCTACCACTACTCTGACTGCCCTTCTAGTACCCACTAATTTGAACTTATGGCCTAAACATATTTTTTCTTTTATTTAGTTCATTTGTTTGGTTTCTCTGTATACCAATGACTGCTATCAAAGCTTTTACTTTAGTTGAATGAGATAATACCACACTTGGCACATAGAGTTTATCCAGTAAATAATAGTTCACTTATTTTTTTTAACCTCCAATACAAAAGCAAAATACAAATTTGTTTCAAATCATTACAAGACTATATCAAATTGTTTTCATTTTCAATAGCTGGTGAGGGTTCTATTTGAAATACAGCAAGTACACATTTATTTTAAAGTAATGAAAAGCAGAAGTTAGTATTGGGGTAGATAGCAATTTTAGAGACCTTTAGATCTGATTTTTTTCTTTTGGTCAAAAAAATAGGATTCAGAAGTTCACATTGATCTGAGATAAAGGTCCCCATTATATCTGAGGCCTTTGTCATTATTTCCTTGTAATTACCACCTTGTTAGGACCAGATTCACACTTTTTCTATCCTGGAATCAAAAGCTTTGAAGTTGAAGCAGCTTAAATGAGCGTATTGACATGTTTCCTTGCCTTTTCTCTTTCCTCTGTATAACTGAGTGATAATTCTGAGTCATTGTTAAATAGTTTATTGTCTTTTCAGAAGTATAATACGTGTGTCCCATCTTAAATACACTTTAATTTGAAAGACATTTTAGAGTGTTGGTTTGAACAAGTTATCTATGACCGTTTGTGATCATAGGTTAAGCTGAGATTTACAGTGAAGTTGAAATGCCTGGCTTCAGACCCTCCTCACCTCTTCCTAGGAGTTGTTTGTCATCACCCTTGAGCACTGAATCTAAAGCTAGACCTGTGTAGGTCTAAGAAGCAAGCAAAATTCTGTGTTTATCAAGCCACAAGAAGCTGTAGTGATTTGTGATGCTGGAAGAAGTGGAAGTGAAGGTACAAGAGTGAGGTTTTCCATAACTGGTCAAAAAGTAGGGATGTCTCTTTTTAATTTTTTCAGTGCAATTACTTATTCAGAACTCAAAACATAAAAACATTCAGCAAGACCAGGTCATCTTGTAAAGTATTTGTTTGCCTTTTCCTGTTTGCAAAAGTTAATTTAGTATTTACAGGAAACTTGCTTCAGTATTGACTCAGTTTCTATTGCTATGTAGAAGACTACACCAGCTTTCTTTCTATCTTGTGAGGGTGAATTAAAGCTCATAAGCCTCGTCCTAACTGATATTTTGTTTTGGTATACATTTTTGTCTGTTTTTTTTCTATTGCTTATTATTACTTGTTTAGTGTCAATTTTTCATATTTATAGAGCAGTAAAAGCAGACAATCTTTCCCCACAATTTTCTTTTATGTTGGCAGCCATTACTTGGCTGATAATGTGGATGGTAATGATCTTTAAAAAGAACATTATTCATTCATTTATTTATTTGTTCATTCCAAGAATATTATTGAGAATCTTTGTAAATCAGGTGCTCCCAAGCATCTAATGTAACAGGTGAAGTGTCTTCCCTCATGCTGCTTATAGTCTGTCAACCAAAAACAAGCCAATAAATAAGATGCCTTACACAGAAATGAGTACCATGAAAACACATAAAAGTGAATTAGGATAGTACCTGGAGGGAGGATCAATTAGACATTGTGACTAGGGAGGGTCCTTTAAGGAGGACAAACCATATTGCAAA